ATTTTATATTACAAAGATTTAATATAATTTCTTATATAGAAAAAATCTAATAATTAAAATATTATTTTTATTTTTTTCTTTCTTTCTTCTTTTTTTTTCTAAAAAGATAGATTTTTTGAAGTCGTTTTTATTCTATAAATATTTGATATATAAAATAATATTACATAATATTTGAAAAATTAGTCACAAAATGAATTTTTTACAAAATAAAAAATATTCTTAGTCTCTGTTGAAATATATAAAATACATTTCAAATATTTCATTAATTTATATAAATATTTTTAGTTTATATATNATTTAAATTTTTTGTACAAAAAATGTATTATAAAAAATATGTTATATAAAAAAATATATTGCATTAATATTATATTAGATAATATATTAGATATTTGTGAGTATTGATAATTATTATATATTATATTGAAAATTTCTACATATACTTAATATATTAAATTATAGTATACTATAATACTAATAATAATATTAATATACTATAGTATACTTAGTATATTATTAAATTTTATATTGTGTAGATCATTTCACACTAAATTAATTATTTTTTTATTTTTATATTTTAAATTTTCAAAGTGAAATATATAATTTATGTGAAATTAAGTGAAATTTAAATCATTTTATTGGTATTTATTTAAAAATTACAATTATTATTATAACATTTTGCTATTTTTAGAAATCCAAACAATATATGTCTAAGAAAATATATTATATATAATATATAATATTTTTTTAACAATTGATTGTTATCAATAACAAATATTTTAATATCAATAAAAAATTATATCAAATTATATCATGAACAATGAATAAACTTTAATTTATTTTTTATAAAACTATGTATATAACTATATAAAACCATTAAATTTTTATTCCATTTTTTTTTATATCTATTACAATTTTAAAAATATATGTTTGCATACTGCAAAATCTAATTATTCTACTAATAAATATGATATTTTTTCTTGAAATTTCCTACTGATTATTAAAATTCAAAAATAATATATAATTATAATAATTAATTTTACAATTTTACATATTAATTTTCTTTTAAATTGTTTAAATAATGATATTTAAAAATGAAAAAATAAAAAGAAAATTTAAACTTAAAACTTAAAAATAAAATTTTGTGTATATAAAAAAAAATTATATCCAAAAGTATTTTTCGAATTTTAGTTTTAAATATGATATATAAATTATTATCTTATAACAAATTCTTAAAACTGATTATGAATAAATGACTATCATGTAATATTGATAAAATTTTTTTATTCTTATTACATTATGTTATTATTTGTAGCCAAATATATGATATATTATCGTTTGATACTCTCTAAAGAAAAACTATTGTAATATATTTATTTATTTTTGTCGTTATATTTTTTTTACCTAATTAATTATTAATATTTTAGAAATTTATATTCTATAATTTTTTTAATTTTAAGATACATTATAATAATTTGGAATAGATAGAAAGATCTTAATAAGAATGCAAGTTAATTATTCATAATTATATTATTATATTAATTTTTTAATGTTTTTGTTTTAGTAAAGTTATGTAATAAATGTAAATATGTGTATCTAATAAATAAATAGAAATATTTTATATTATATAATGAAATATAAAAAAATATAAAAATATAGAAATAATATAGAAATATCTTATAAAAGTTATGTTTTTACATAACAAATAACTGAGTAAAAATACAATTCTATAATATACTATGTTAAAGATCAAAAGGAATAAATAAAAAAAATAACTCATGTAAAATTCATATCTCTATTATAGCTTAAAGGTCTGAAAAAATCTTTACAAAAAAAAATTGGATGTTACGGGCAAATCTATTCATTTATGACTTCACGTTTTTTATAAGTGCATCCAAAAGATGCAGTTTTTTTTTTTTAATAGAATTATATATCTTTTTTATACATATTATTTCTCATTTTTTTTGTATCATTTTTTTGTATATTTTTTTATTTTGAAAAAGTATTAAAATATAATATTCAAAAAGATTAATTTTTTATAAATTATTAATTAATTATTTTTCAAAATTTCAAAATTTTTATTGATAATTTATACGTACATATTTTGGCTATTATATTTTGTTTATTTTATATTTCTTAATATCTTAATTATATTTAACGATATGAAAAATGACATCAAAACCGTTATTTGGTTCAAACAACAAATTAAGATTCATGATTTTTTTCTGTGAAATTATCCTGTTTTTTAATTTTTCATATTTTGAAATTATTGATATTTCTTTAAAATATATATTTTTATAAAGTTTTATTTTTTATACATATGATATAATAATTTTCAAAAGATCTTGCATAGAAAATTGCAATGATCTATAGAAAATCGGTAAATTAATCATTTTATTTTTTCATTTATAATTAAACAAAAACATTTTTTATTTTTTTATGATATTTTTATCATATCTTTAGAATTTTTATATATTTATAGAAATTTCTATAATTTTTTAGAAAAATTAATATAAATTATATACACAAATTATACGAGATATTTTTTTTTTAATTTCATTTTTATTTAAATAATTTTATTTTGGCATAATCTTTTCGCAAAAAGATATATATTGACATTTTAAATATTAATGCTAGTTTTAAGTTTTATTTGACCATATAATATCTTGTAGCTGATATCGTAATATTTAAATGTTATATATGTCTATTTTTTAAATTATAAATTAATTTTATTTATCTGTATAAATATTATATCTGTTATATAGATAATGTTAATATAGATAAATATATTAACTTTATTATTATTTATTATTTTAATATAACTATTACATTATTCCTTATAAATTTTTTTCGATCAAATTACAAAATTTTTAAATGAAATAGTATTAAATAAAATAATATTTATCTATTTTTAAAAATTTTTTTGTTTTCATTCAATTTATGTTTATATTTATACATATATTACATTATTTGTTATTTATTCAATTTACGACAATTTTTAAATTAAAATATTAT